AAAAGATAACTATAATATCTTCTGTTGGTCTCAAAAGAATTGTAGTGAAGAAGAGTAATGTTGGTGGCCTTCCTGATAATTCCTAGGGGGAAAAAACTAAAGATTTCCTCCAGGGCAATCTCCAAGTGCTCGGCTTCATAGAAAGAGGCCACATATCTATTTATCTATACTGCGATAGGGATAGAAGAGGGAGTGATCATAAGGGCTGCCTAAAATTTTATCTGGGCCAGATTTTACAGTATGCTATTTTAAATCTAAACCAAAGGAACTTCGTATTTGGCTCCAAGGCGATCACTGAAGGAAAATTGCCTCGATACCAAATGAAGTCCTGTTACCATCTCCTCCGTGCAGTGAAAACAAACCAAATCACCCCCTTTTCAATGTGTCCCAGAGTGTTATCCCAGATTACTTGTACTCACCCACCAAATGTTGTGTGAAAGCTGTAAAAGATACCCAGTTTTGCCTCCCAGCTCATCCTCCAGCATCTTTTCACCAGTGCGAACTCCTCACCCTGCCCACTTCATCTTGCTTTCCTTCCCTTCATGATTTAGCTAAAGTGCTGGCTTCTGTGTCATTTAGAACAAACAAAAACTATAGAAATATGGCTTAAAAGACAGATGCACTGATTTGGGATGGGAAGCAAATGTTGGATGCTGGCTCACTGCGTCCTGAAGGCTTTAATTTACAGCAGAAATAAAAAGGAGTTGTTCAACATGTAGCGTAAGGAGTCAGCTTTGAAAACTGATAAGAGGAGAAAAATGCCAGACTCATTTTGAATGTGAACTTAACAACCAGGACCCTTATTTCCCTGCAGCAAGATGATCGCAACTTTCTTAGAATGATTTAAGAATTCCACGGAGGCATTTTGTCCAAGCCCCTTTGTGGGCCCATTTCAGCAGGCTTTAGAATCCTCCTAACAGGGCTTATCAGAGAAGATTCCAATTTAGAGCAGCAAAAGTTTAGAGTCTGATATCAGCTCTAGCTTTTCTTTTTCCTTTTTTTTTCCCCAAAAGGAGACATGATGTTTTACAGTGTTAACAGTTTTGAAAGGTCCTACATTTCCAGTGAACAGAGCGCTTTTGTGAAAAGCCTTCTGAAAAGCATTATTCAGGCGAAAATGCATCAAAGGGATGTGAGTTAAAAAGAGAAAAGTTTGCCGATGTAGAGATTGGAGGCAGCATGTGCTGACAGGTGCAATTATAGCCAAATAATTGAATCTTTTTAGAGAGATCTGGTGTGATAAGGCAATAGTTGTGGACTCACCTTGGAACTCTGTTCATAATTAGATACTCAGGGGTCCAGCTGTGGACGATACAACCAATGGAGGGATCGTGAACTACTTTATATGCAGGACAGAATCACCGTTGCACTTTGTAAAATAGGGTGAAATGGCATGATTTCAGCCCAACAGTACCTAATTAATACAAAGGTTGAAGATAGCCTTTTCAGTCTTTTCCCTCAGACTCCCAACAGTCTGGAACTATTTTCAGCCTCTAAAAATCATAGTCAGTCCGAGCTTCTAGATCCTTTGGTGTCAAAGAAATGAAAGAAAATCTCAATTTTTTCAAAGCTAAATAAGTGCTTTTATTAGTAACATTAAAACTCTCTCTTTGATGTTTGTTTAAAGAGTTTCTGGGCACTTCTGTTACCTTTGTTTACACCGTGCGTCTAAGCCAAAGACTGGGACAGGGAACGATTTGGTGTTAATTTCTGAGAATGTTGCACCAAAGTCATGAAAGACATAACCTTGCTTTTGGTCTTGAAATACAGGTGCTCAGAGCCTTGGCTCAATGAGAAGTGAGTTTGCTGTTCATATTGTCTTTGCTGCATGCATTCTTTCTCAGGAATCTGAGCCACAGGTCTTTCTCAGCATCTCTGTGTGGACACAGAGCTGAGAAGAAGACACAGACTGCTGAGACACAGCACAGGTCATTTCTACTTATCACAGCGCAAAGGGCATCCCTCACGCTCCATTAGTAATTCTGTTAGACATCTTGCTTCAGGCTTTCATTCTTAAGGAAATAGTATATTCTGCCATATTGTATGAGTTCTTTCTGTCAGATTTATTTCTTTTATCCTCTTCTCCATATAGTTGGATTACCTTGTCATTGTAATGCGATTAAAGGTTCTTAAGTTGGCTGAGAGTTATAGGTTTCTGATAATGGCACCTTAACTTAGAATCTAGGCAATAGCTCCTTTTTTTTACTAGTGGGAATTGACTCCTTAATGTCTTTGGATCTTAGTATTTTCCTTCTTTTTTCCTTTTTAGTCACCAACTTTTCACTTTTGCTTCTGTCTTTATGTTTTTGAATTGCAGAAGTACCAAGGTAGATAGAAGATCTGCAGTAGCCTTCTCACAGTACCTGGACCATAGTGAGCATTCAATACTCACTGATCACGATAATCACTATTTTAGTTTCTGCTTACCTTGTTTGTTTATGTCACCTTCGGTACTTCCCCACAGTTTGACATCTGGTCTAATTTTGGAAATATTATTGTCATTTTTTTCTGCCAGGATCAGGAGGGGTACTTTAGTATTTACACTATAGGCCACAATGGAGGTATTCAGATTTATCCATGGTGGGCCACTCAATCCTAATTCCAACATCAGTGCAGACTGCATGGCCTTTAAAAAAAACTGATTACAGGAGCATGTCTATAGGGCCCACTCCCAGCATAGAAACATTAGACCTTTAACTGAATCAAATGTATGTGAAGAAGTAATTAACTACCTAGTGAACTATCTTTCACCACCTTTCATTATTCCCCAGGATTACGATGTCATTTCAGTGGAATTAAATTTGAGCAGCTCAAGATTACATAAGCACACTGAGCATTAGTTTCAAGTCCTTGCTGCTTGAAGCCTGCTGGTTGAGCTTCAGAGCATCTTCTTTTCTGACAGTGGGTCTCCACCTTGGCTGTGCCTTATTAGCACCCTCAGCACTTTCACAACAGTGCAGGTGCTTTGGTCTAACCCAGAGAGTCTGACTGAATTGGTTTTAGGTAGGACCCAGGAATAGATATTTTTAAAAAAGGCTCCTTGAGGAATTGAGGACCACGAAGTGGCAGGAAAAGAGACTTACAACATACTGACTACATTTTCACTTGTGCTAACCAACTTGGTTAAGCTCTCTCCCAACCACGTAAGCCATGCCCCCTCACCCATTCCTTCTTGTTTACTCCACATCTGCCAGTTAAAACAATAGAGCAGAAAGGGGACAGTTGTTTAAGACAGAGGAATTTGATTTCAAATCTTGTCTGTCTTTTAAGAGTGTGATCTTGGAAAGATACTTAAATTTACATGAATTTTATTTCCCCCATTTATCAAGTGGGAATAATAAGACTTCTTTGTAAGTACAGAAAAATTACTACCATAATATAAACATTTAGTACAGTACCCAACACATAATAGGAGCTCAGAATCTGTTAGCTTTCTATTTCCCTTTCTGGTTTTAATTTCTTTATAGGTCAAATGAAGGGCTCAGATAATATTTGAATTCTCCTTATACCTTAGAATCCATTGAGTCTGATTCTCTGCCTTAAGTAATATGATTGGAGAGTAACTGCCATATGTTCTTTTCCACAAATTCAGAAAGCTATTGACACACAGCTGACAGGGAATAAGTTGGTAATTTCTTTTAATATCCTGTCTACGTATTCTCATTTGGCTACCCTTTCAACCTGACGTATCTATGAAGTGGCTAGCCAAGGCCAGGGATGTGGTTTGAATTGTGGGAACAAGATTTTTTGATTGAGTAATGCCACCTGTTTTATATGGGCATCAATCTTGTGCCCTTGACCACCATTCACTTGCTTCAACCACATAATCACCCAATGTACCTTATAACAGTGATAGCACCTGGCATTTATATTATAGCACCTATTGGAAGTGATATACTTCAGAGGATGCCAGGCAAAATCAGGAAACGTCTTTCAAATACTACCTGGCTAATTACTTTTTGTCAAGAAAATAAAGTATTGAAGCTTCTTGATCCATTCCCAGAGAGTCATAGGAGAATTCATTCCAATATAGCTTGGTATCAAGGAACAGTGTGTGATTCATGGCAATGACTCAGGAAGGCATCTGCCTTGCTTCACTGTGACACATACTTGCCTTTGCCTGATCATTTGGCTTTAAATGGAAGCTCAGACAAATGAGAACAGACCTAAGCTTCTATTATTACCCAGTTCAGGCTGCCCAAAGCAGAGGACTGGGAAGGTTTTCCAACGTGCAGGCTCAAGGGAGTTGCTTGTGTTATAGGCAGATAAGTTGTTTATGGGAAAAGCAACTTTGATGATGACAGTATGATCCCTCTGCTGTTTCCCACTGTCTGCAAAGTGTAACATGGCAGGCAGTGCAACTTAAGTGTTAAAAGCAAGAGTTTAGAAATCACCATAAGCTAGATTAAAATTTTGGCTTTATCCTTATAGCAAACTTTGTCTGTGAAGGGCCAGCTAGTAAATATTTCAGGCTTTCCAGGCCATATGGTCTCAGTCACAACTACTCAACTCTGCAGTTCTAGTCAAAAGGAGCCACAGACAATACATAAATGAATGGGCATGGCTATGTTCCAGTTAAACTTTATTTACAAAAGCAGAGAGTGGGCCAGATCGCCTGCGACTGTAGATTGCCTGTCCCTGCTCTATAGGCTTTTGCACTAAGAAGTTACTTTAATTCTATAAGTTCCCCTTGAAGGTTAAAAGAGATAGTATTTGTAATACACTTACCATGTGGTTGGCATATGGCAAGCACTTGAAAATAGTAGTTGCTATCAACTTATTAAAAATATTGTGTATTATATAGTTTAAAATGCCATGAATTGTAAGGTGCATCTAGATTTCAGAGATGTTAAAAGGTGATAAAAAGTTTTAGAAGTGATGAAATTTGGTAACAGTAATTGATTATAGTAACAAGGTTATATTTAGGATTTTAAGCTTGTCATACCAGTGATACTTTGAACTTCCTGTATAACATATTTTTGTGATTTTTTTTTTGTCAGAGACACATGTCATGAACTCCTGGGACATGTTCCACTACTCGCGGATCCTAAGTTTGCTCAGTTTTCACAAGAAATAGGCCTGGCATCTCTGGGAGCATCAGATGAAGATGTTCAGAAACTAGCCACCGTGAGTTCATTTTCAATTTAAAAAAATGTTCTATTTATATTCCCTTGTAAGGTGAATAAAGCTTTAGACTTATTCACGAAGATTATAAGGCAAATACTACTGAGAAGACATGGTGATTTCAATGATTTCCAAGTTGTGTTCCTTTGAAGTACAATGAATGTGTTCTTAGCTTATCAACCATTAAGATATTTATATTTTATCCTTCTTGTTCAGGGAGAGTAAATATTTTGGGCATGCAGCTCATAAGTTCTCTGTCCAACTATTCAGTTCATTCATCACAGTGACTGAAAAAAAAAAAAACAGCCAGAGGCTGTATGTAAATGAATGAAAGGCAGCTGTGTTCCAATAAAACTTTATTTATAAAAGCTGGCAGTGTGCCAGGTTTGGCTTGTGTGCTGAAATTCATTGACTTCTATTCTAGTTCAATGTTTTTTTTTCCTAGAAAAATATTAGGAATAGTAAAAGTTATGCATTTATGAAAAACTAGGGGTTGTACTTGAGATTATCACTTATTAGTCAATATGGCTGTTGTCAGACACAATTTGAGTCAGCCATAAGAAGCTTAAGCTAAACAATTATTATAAGGATAAAACCAGAAAAAGATTTAATAACTATATGTTCTCAACATGGTTTTTCTCAAAACAAGCACTAGTAGAGGAAAAGTTATGTTGGTGGCTTCCTTTAAGATGCGAGCTAGCAAGCTTATCTACCTTACCTTAACCCCATTTCAGGGGCGCCTGGGTGGCTCAATTGGTTAAGTGTCTGACTTTGGCTCAGGTCATGATCTCATGGTTTGTGGGTTCGGGCCCCGCATCGGGCTCTGTGCTGACAGTTAGCTCAGAGCCTGGAGCCTGTTTCAGATTCTGTGTCTCTCTCTCTCTCTGACTTTCCCCTGCTCACACTGTCTCTCTCTCTCTCAGAAATAAATAAAAAAATAAAAAAAAAACCCATTTCAAAGAGTACAGTATAAGAAAGAACAGCTTTAGCATACTCACTTACAAGGGCGAGTCCATTTGCCTAAATGAATAAAGCTACCAGAGGAATTAAAAATGGAATCTTAAGTTGTGTGTATTTGCTGTAGATATACATTGATGTCACATTAGGCATGTAGGGATATTCTTCACGGCTACCAAGAAATACATGCTCTAGATTTCTTTTCAAAAAATTTTTTTGTTTTGAGAGAAAGAAGCACGTGTGTGAGAGCAAGCGCAGGAGGAACAGAGGGGGAGAATCTTAAAATTTTGCTTTAATGCTTATTTATTTTTGAGAGAGACAGAGTGCAAGCAAGGGAGGGACAAAGAGAGAGAGAGACACATAGAATCTGAAGCAGGCTCCAGGCTCTAAGCTGTCAGCACAGATCCTGACACGGGACTTAAACTCACAAACTGTGAGATCAGGACCTGAGCCGAAATCAAGAATTGGACGCTTAACCGACTGAGCCACCCAGGCATCCCTCCTAGATTTCTTAAGACAACTAGGCCTTTCAGTTCATCTTTTGTTTCCTAGTGTTCATAGAGATATGAGACATGAGAAATATTTTTCTAATATAAGAGAAGCGGCAGGCAAAAGCCATGCTGTTAGTGTCAATGCAGAGATGAATAATTAGTGAGGTGAATGGAGGCTTAACGAGCCTGGGAGAGCCTACTGCCGAAGGCAGGTCCTCAGTTTCCACTCATAGCTGCCAGACAAGAGTGCAGGCTTTGTGTTGCCAGATCTCCAAATGTTTGAGAGAGACTGGACATCTAGATTTCTAAAAGAATTTAAATTATTTTAAGATTTTGGCCCATGAAAAACATTATGAACTGAGTAAAATATATTTGTAGATGGAATCAGGATCTTGACTTCCAATTTGCAACCTCTGCCCTAGGCATTGTATCTCATGCATATTGGCCATCTATTACTGCATAGCAAATAACTCCAAAACCTAGTGGCTTGAAACAGCGAACATTTATTATCTCATAGCTTGTGTTTGGGAATTCGAGAACCTCTTAGCCGAGTGGTTCTGGCTCCAGGACGCTTCTGTGGTTGCTGCAAGACGTGCGCTACGGCTGCAGTTATCTGAAGATTTGGGAATCTTCTGCCAAAAGAGTTCACTCATGTGGCTATTGGTGAATCACTTTCTCTAGAGCAAGTAATGGGGGGGGGGGATGGAGGAGGAGGAAGAGAGAAATCAATGGGGGGAGGAAGTTGTAATGACTTCTCTGACTTGATCAGGTGTTGTTCATGGCAGCCATATTATGTTCGTTAGAAGAGACTCATTCCAGTCCACATTCAAGGGGAAGGAAATTAGTCTACACCTTTTGAAGAAAGTAATGTTAAGTGTTTGTAGACATATTCTGAAACCACCACACCAGTGAGTTCTGTTATTTAATTCTCAAACCTTGGCTCTGTCTTTAAGCTCCACATTTTAGAACCTTTCCCATGCCTGGAAAATTTCCCTTGAAATTTTCTGGCTTCAGCCTTTGACCCCCTATGGCTTATACTCTTCATCAGGGATGAATGTATTGCTTATTTATCTGACTTTGAACAATCACAAACTGGGGTTCAGCCCTGCCAGGCTCTGTGTGTGTGTCCAAAGAGATGACGAGAAGAAATAAGGTGGGACTGCATGGATGTGAAAGTACATAGATCCTAGTGAATGATCTTATTTCTTTTTTAAAAGCAGTAACAAAAATGTAGCTTTATTGGCCTTTAGTTTTACACTCCATAAAATGATAATTAATTAAGTCCATCATTCAAACTAACATTCACCAAGAATAAAACATGGTCCTCACGTCTGGGAAACTTGTAGCCTATATAGGTAAAACTAAGATTTTTTCAGAGGAGAGAAAGTTTGTGCTGAGTCCTGAAAGATGAAAAAGTCAGCCAAGTTGCAAAGGGGGAGAAAGGGGGACCTAAGGGTCAGTTTCAGCCAGAAAAAGAAATCTCTTTGGTTTGGGGGCCCAGCAGGTTTGCCTGCTCACCAGTTTGCAGGGCCATGCTGAAAACACGGATTGCCTTTTGTATTAGTTTTCTATCACTACTGTTAACAAATTACATGTGGCTTAAAACAACACAAATTTGTTATCTTACAGTTTCATAAGCTTAGAAGTTTGACACAATTCTCATTGAGCTAAAATTAAGGTGTTGGGGGGGCGCCTGGGTGGCTCAGTTGGTTAAGCATCCGACTTCAGCTCAGGTCATGATCACACGGTTCGTGGGTTCGAGCCCAGTGTTGGGCTATGTGCTGACAGCTGGCTCAGAACCTGGAGCCTGCTTCAGAGTCTGTATCTCCCCCTCTCTCTGACCGTCCCCTTCTTATGCTGTTTCTCTCTCTCTCTCTCTCTCAGAAATAAATAAAAAACATTAAAAAATAATTAAGGTGTTGGGGCACCTGAGTGGCTCAGGTGGTTAGGTGACCACCTCTTGATTTTGGCTCAGCTCATGATCTCATGGTTCATGGGATCAAGCCCTGTGTGGGGCTGACAGCACAGAGCCTGCTTGGGATTCTCTCTCTTTCCCTCTCTCTGCCCCTTCCCCATGCTTTTGTGCTCTCTTTCTCTCTCTCTCTCCCTCTCTCACTCAAAAAATAAACATTAAAGAAAATAAAATTAAGGTGTCAACAGGGCTGTGCTCCTCTCTGGAGGCCCCAGGGGAGAATTTGTTTCTTTGCTTTTTCGAGCACCTAGAGGATGTCTGCATTCCTTGGCTCATGGCCCTCTTCCTCTATCTTCAAAGCCAGCAACATTGCAACTCTCTGAAATTTCTGCCATTGCCACATCTCTCTTCACTGACTGAAGCTGGGAAAGGTATTTTGTTTTTAAGGACTTATGTGATTAGATTGGGCCCTGCAGAATAATTCACAACAATCTCACCATTGCAGAGTCCATATTCTTCTTAATTATATCTGTAAAGGTAATATATTCTAGGGATTAGGGCAGTACATTTTTGGGGGGAGCTTTATTTTTTTGTTTCTATTCTTACATTTGTAAGAAAAAAATGAATACCTGTATCTTGAAACCTGTTATACTAGGACCAGTAAATTTGTAGGATGAATACCTTTTCTTTTGGAACTTACATTCCTTAGCATGATTCCGTTACCCTTGGCTATGATTGCCTAGCTCCCACAGCTAAAAATGCTTCTGTCTGTTAGAGATCATTAGGTCATTAATCATGCTTCTCTCTCTCTTTTTTTTCGTTGTCTTTTACCTGGAATATAAATGTATTTCTGCAAAAGCCAATCAACAGTCTTTAAATGGCTTTAGTCTTTAAATGGCTAAAGAATCCTAGGTACCATGAGGTAGGAAAAGGAAAAAGACAAAAAGGTAGTACATGCATCAAGGAGCTTTTGATCTTGTACACAAAAATATGGAAAGTACAGAATCAGTGTGAGCTTTTATTAATATATGTGAGAAGTTATGCAGAAAAAGTGGATTTAAGATGATGCTTCCAACTGTGTTTGAGTTCTGAATTCAGTGGTGGAGACTGGAGTTCAGAAGTGGGAGCAGAGGCCAGCAGACAGCTTTATTTCTTTTTCTTTTAAAAAACATTTTTATTTAAGTCCAAGTTAATTGACATATAGTGTAGTAATGGTTTCAGGAGTAGAGTTCAGTGATTCATCGTTTACATACAACACCCAGTGCTCATCACAGTGTCCTCCTTAGTGCCTGTCACCCATTTAGCCCATCCCCCCACCACCTCTCCTCCAACAACCCAGTTTGTTCTCTGTGTTTAAGAGTCTCTTATGATTTGCCTCTCTCTCTGTTTTTATCTTAGTTTTCTTTCCCTTCCCCTATGTTCATCTGTTGTGTTTCTTTTTTTTTAACGTTTTTATTTATTTTTGAGACAGAGATAGAGACAGTGTGAGCAGGGGAGGGTCAGAGAGAGAGGGAGACACAGAATCTGAAACAGGCTCCAGGCTCTGAGCTAGCTGTCAGCACAGAGCCCGACATGGGGCTCAAACCCACGAACCATGAGATCATGACCTGAGCCGAAGTCGGACAGTCAACCGACTAAGCCAT